AGGATCCCCTCGAGAACCTCCCTTTGAGCCTACCACTTCGAATGATTGGCCATTCCCTTGGCCTGCTCGAGGGTGGATTCGACGTCAACTTTGCATTGATCCGCAGAAGCTTGAGCCTTAATATTGGCAGCGGCCACTTCGGATCTGGCAACCTCGGCTCCTTGGCCAGATTGGCTAAATTGGATTCGAGCTCCTCGACCTTCTTTGCTTGGACCGAGGCATTGTCCCTCGCATATCGAAGTTGTGACTTGGCAGAATCCAGCTCTGCTTGAACGGTCTCCTTTTGCGCAGCCAGGATGTCCATACATCCCTTGAACCGATCGGATTCCGCTCGCACTTCATCTATTTGCCCTTGAAAGCCCCTGATCTGTTCGAGCCTCTATCGAGCCTACAGAATGGTATTGTTAGTCGTTATCTCAACTCCTCCTCACTATCATGAAGAATTTAGAATACTTGCTTGGTCGTCTCTTCATGCGCGTTTCGAGCTTCCACCAGGTCTACTGAAGCTTCTCACTGAGAATCTTGTAAGTGTTGCACTTCTCAGTGAGACCCTGGACCTCGACCTTGCGGTCTTCTCGGGATCGGCCTCGTGGTACAACACCGAAGCCTACAAGAAAGGAAGAAATATTAGAGATATCCATAATTCAAAATTCAAGAAAAGACAATGATCCTTGAGCTTACCCGATTCAGAGCATGCTGGGCCTCGTTAAACAAGCAGGCAACATCCACTGCATTCATTTTCGCTTGATCCTCCTCAGTGACCAAGCATCGAAGGTAACTTGCCACCCCTACGGAGGCACACACCTCAATGACAGACCATACACGAGGCATCAATCCATAATTTTCTTCTTCATCCTCGTCTTATCCAATATCTGGTGGATGGACTCTAGAGTTACGAGGATAACGTCCCCTTAGGCTTACGGGGGCCTCCTGGCCGGCCTTTCCTTCTCCGGGCTTGAGGAACTCGAAGCCTCTTTCCTTTTCTTCTCTTTGCCTTGCTTCGGGGCAGACTGGGAAAGGAGTGCCTTTTCTTCAGCAGAGGGGGGCCTCATTGGAACGTCCTTCCCGAGGCCTACAATATAGAAAAGGTGAGTAAGTACAAATAACAAAGTCTGAATGGAAACCTTGCCAAGGAAAAAAGATTACCATGGTTTCGAGCCTCCCATCGGCCCCTTAACAACTCATTCCAAGCACGCTCGGAATAAGGTTTTGTGACTCCAATCCCTCGACCCATTGCCTCAGGTCGGGGATCACTTCCGGCATAACGGCCTTGGCTGCAACACAAGAACTTAGATGAGGGGAAAACAAGAAAGCTGAACGGCAATAATAGAAACACGAAAGGGCAAGAAATGCTTACGTTTCATGTTCCACCTTTCAAGGAACGGCATATCTTCGGCAGGGATTAGATCCGAAGTCTTTATTCGGACAAACCTGCACATCCAACCTCGGTCTCGAGCCTCGTCTATGCTTGATAACAGGGGTTTGGTGGCTCAGCGGTAAAGTTTTATCATACCTCCCCGATAAAGTCGAGGGCCGTAGAGGCGCATGAGGTGATTGAGTGTAAAAGGATGCCCCTCAATCTTACTAACAAAGAATAGGATGAGGAGCACGATCCTCCAAAATGATGGGTGAATTTGGCCCAGAGTGACATCGTACCTCTTGCAAAAGGCAACGATGATGGGGTCCAAGGGACTTATTGTGAAGGGGTAGGTGTAGACAGTCAGATATCCCTCCTTGTAAGTAGTGATGGATTCTTCGGGGCTAGGCACCATGACGTCCTTGCCCACCCAGTTGCACTCCTTTTTCACCTTCTCGAGGAGGCACTTGGTAATCGTGCACATATACCTCGACATGGGTTCACATCGGCCTGGTGTCGAGGGTGTGTTCTCCACCTTGAAATCAGCAGCAGTGACACACTTCGTAGGAACGAAGTCTGTAAGAGGATGTTCCGCCGCCGTCGCGGCCCCGGCAAACTTTGATGAAGAGGCGGTTTCTTTCTGCGGCACAGTTTTGGATGTTTTTGCCATTTCGGGTTTGAGTTTGAAGAAAGAAGAAGAAAATAAGACTTGGTATTTTGAGAGAAGGTTGACAACAAAACCTGTAGATTATGCAGAACGGGAAAACTTAAACGATGTAAAAGCTTTGGAGATTAGAAAAAATTGAAAGTAAAGTTTGAATCAATGAGGAAAGGGCCTATTTATGGGTTTCACCGCGACGGTTCGAAACCACTAGTGGCCGACCATCAACTGGCATGCATTAAATGCCTGGGAAAGTGCACCAATGGGACGTTTCGGTCACATCTGCCGCTTACGTTACGGGAATGACGTCATGACAGGTTTAGGATCGAAGGCTCAATTCGTTTCTTGTCATTACACTCCAAAAAAGGAGGGGACTATTTTGATATGATTAAAATCGGGCCCACCCGATTTTACTGATTTATCGAGACCAGTGTAAAGGATCGAAGATCGATCCCGTAATAGATCGGACTGAGGCACGAGGACGAGGTACCGAGTTCGAGATTCGAGGTACCTGTCAAGATCGAGGCCGGTAGTGATTGAGATCAATTGAAACAGACATCGAGCAAGAGCGAAGGTAGAAAAACAACAGAAAGGCGAGATATCCGTGACTGGTTGAAGATTATGGCGGAAATCTCAGAACGGATCGAATCAATAGCGGTTATTTAGCCTATTATGGGATTTGCTTCTGTTATTAGAATTGTATCATAAATAGGATTTCTCTACCATATAAAGAGGGGTTTAATCATTCTATAAAAAACGGACATTCATGCATATCAAAGCAATATAACACTCTTTTAGCTTATATTCTCTTATTCATCAGCTTGCCTTATTTTTACTTGTGTTGGCATCAATCAGCTCGAGGGCATTCTAACTCGAGGGTTGAATTCCGTCTCGACACTGGTTTGCTTTACTTTATTGTTAATTTCTATCACTAATCATCTCATTTATCAATTGGTATTAGGTGAAATCATGTATCCTTATAACCACATTATAAATTTAATTGTTATCCAATTTTAAGGGTAAACAATCATCTTTTGACTTTTCCATAAATAAATATTCTTATTACACAAGTTTAGAAGATTTCCACTCCATAGTCCGTACGGCATCTAGAAACAACTTCACCAAGATAATCCTTTCAACAATGGTAAATTATATCCAAAAATCTTAACGTGAACATAAATGACTAGTAAGTCAATAGTTGTGTGTTACAAACTTCAACAAAATTTCATAATACTGTTTGACCCAAAATTTGGATTCTGTTCAATCAATTAAATTTAAATAAAGTAGAGTTGAACTTGGCCAATACTAATATCCAGAAGACATGTTACCGATTTTGTAGTAGATAATACGTATTGTTTGAGTCAATGGCAGTAAACGTGGACAACACCAACAATATTCAATGAATCAAAAGAAGGAGGATAGCATTAAACAGGGGCGGATGTACATGCTAATTTTAGGTGCTCAAGCACCCATTAACCTTGACATAAACTATGTATAGCTATAATAAAAATATAAGAAATTGGATAAAATATTTTAGCGAGCACCCAATAGACAAAATGACTGATGGGTTCTGTGGTTCTGATGCGGGGGTTGAAGCTTTTGCTGAGTGCGAACACCCAGGTTCGAATCTTTGTCACGGCACCTCTCTATATTTGTCAGCTTTCTGTCTTTTGTGGAAAAGTTTTTCACTTTTCCTATTCCCTTAAGGTTTTAGGGTTGTCAGCGACTTTTTTAGCTTTTCCTTGCTTTTGAACTAAATTTTCCTTTTTTGGTTTTTTTCCTCCTTTTCCTACTTCCTTTCACCTTTAGGCTTTATTATATTAATTAGATTTAGGAATAAGAAAGGCATTGTTTCCAGAAAACTTTAAAACTAAACCCTTCTTGAGTTTTTGCTTACTAGAAGTCCTTTTTGGTTATGATAATACTATTAATAGTTCATTATGACTTGTGACTAAAAGTATTTGTTGGTAATGATAATATTATTAGTTGTTTTCACATTAACTCTTTTTATTCTTGCATTCGAATAGTTGTGCACTTATACTATGCGATTGCTAGCAACTTTATGTTGAAGGAAGTGAGCACCCACGACCTTAAAATCCTAGATCCGTCAGTGGCATTAAATAATAATAGCTAGCAATGAATGGCATTTAAGTAAATAAAAACATGTGACTCACCCGAAAATATGTGAGATCTGTGGATATTCCTTGTGACAGTGATGAATGATTGATGAGCCTTCGAATATTCAAGTTGTTCTTGGATCAAGTGGAAAAGTAAAGTAAGAATCTTAGTAAAAAAGTATCTCTTGTGTGCTTGCAATAAAGCCACATTCTCTCTATAAAGTCAATGTATTTTCTTACAAGTCAATATCTCTTCCCTCCTCTCCTTGTGTCTCTTTCTGTTTATAGGGAACATATACCTAGAATACTCTAATAGTACAGGTGCACAGAATAACCACTAGAATAGTCTCCTCTGATGTCTATCCTAAAACTAGCCGCTATTCACTCTATTTACAGTGAGTGCTCGACCTCGACCCTGATCTTCGCTGACTCTTCGATCTCGATCTTTGTTGACTCTTCGACCTTGGTCTTCAATAACTTCATCGGCCCTCACTTCTTAAGAGATCGCTTCGACATTGGGCATCAAAGTCGTACTGGCGACACGTGGCAGTCCGCGAGTGCCTCTTTAAAATTAACATGGTTTGATCATGTCAAAGGTAATTTTGACCAATACAAGTACAAGTTTTACTGACTAGGAGAAAAGCAAGAAACCTATAAAAAATTATCTGACTACAAACTTCTACTTACCCCAAACCTCCCTCCTCCCAAAAAGACTTACCAACAGTGTCACTATCTCCCCAAAAAAAAGGCAAAGATCACTTTTAGCCGGCAATTAAAACTATTTACATCTGATAGCTACAAAAATATATTAATTTTTTATATTACATACAAAAATATATATATATATACAAAAAATATACACATTTGACTATTATTTTAAGAGCGTCTAACATATAGCGCTTTACACAAAATCGGACTCTTTAACCAAGAAATAAGGCAATATGACGAGCACTACAGCTACATATCACTGCTGCAACCTTTTGGGAAGTTTTGGCCAACCAAATGGTCCGAGTGTTCCAATTTTTGAAGGAACTTCTAATCACAATACATATCTTTAAGACAAGCAACATCCAACTTGAGACTTCTAGAGAATCCTTTGGCTAGTTTAGGAGGAGTCTATGAATTTTAGATTGTTTATTATCTGCAAAAAAAAAAATCACATAATATGATAGTCAAGCAGTCAGTTCAATTTAAACGTTCATAATTACGAGTTACAAGGAACCCTAAATTAGCATATCTGTCAAGATAAAGTGGAATTCCTCTGATTCAAAGAGGTGATGATAAGTCGATAAGTCTATCTCAGATTACATGGAACTTCCAGGTTTTCAGCTAAAGCAAGTCGTATTTAAGCCAACCAAACATGGAAAAATTAATACTGCTCATTTTCATGGTCCTTGAGCCGAGGGACTCCGGAACCTGCCTACCTTCATAGGGTATGGGTAAGGTATGTGTACATATTACCCTCCACAAACCGCACTTGTGGAACTATACTATGTATGTTGTTATTGTAGTAAACATGGGAAAATTGGAAAAAAATTCCAGAAAATTTTTTCACCCTAAGATTTTTATAGTTTTAACTGCAAACATGATGAAATTTTTCAGAAAACATATGCATGCTGTGATGCTGAGATGATATAAAACTTACTTATTTGTGTTCTCTGCTTTTCCTTTTGTGGCTCCTTCAGGAAAAAAGATTTCTTTCCGCACAGCAATCAGTTTCTGTGCCCATAAAAAGACAACTATCAGATATTATATCACTCAGTGTTTCCACAATATCAGCATTACTAAATTCAAACCTCACAGAGAAATTTTTGCAAGGAGATGAAAGTCATACCTTAAATCAGTACTATGTGTCTCACTGTCGGCGCCAATATAAACATTTTTTTGATCTTTGATCAGCTGCAGTTTCTCAATCTCCTCATCTTTCTGAGATATCGTATCCTTAAGAGACACAACCTGGAAGATCAAAAATTACAAGAGACTCCAATTCACACCCTACAAAGTAAAGTTAGTCTGCATATTATATCTCTCAGTTTTCTTGTAAACGCAAAACCAAAAAGATAGGCATAACATATAGGAGAATATAGCTGCATAACTCATACGTCGATTGGCTTGTTTTCTCTGCCTTAACCATTTAGGTAATATGACGGAGCATAAAATAGTTTTTCATTTCTAGCACAGCAATTGAAAATATTAAATAAGTATTTGATGTTAGAAGAATACCTGCTCCATTAAATCTCTTACATCCCTGCCGTCTTTACTACTTCGAGCAGCACCTAGCTCTACTCCAGATACTCTTTCAGCAAATTTTAACGTGCTCACGGTTTCTGAATATGAACCAACTTCAGGATTTAGCTGCACAAACATAAGTGTCTTTGCTTGGCCACCTGTACAACAAAATAAAACAATTAAGTGTGCAACAGCCGAGCACATTAAAGTGTTGCCATGTCATCACCAGGAGGTCACATGTTCGAGCTGTGGAAACAGCCTCTTGCAGAAATACAGGGTAAGGTTGCGTACAATAGACCCTAGTAGTTTGGCCTTTTCCGCGGACCCGGCGCATAGCGGGAGTTTAGTGCACCGGGCTGCCCTTAACAGCCGAGCACGTTAACGGTTGAAATATCTCCATTACTACTTGCTTACAATTCATAAGTACCTAATGAAGTCTGAAGGAGTTGAGTCAGCTTGCTGTTTCTGTATGGGACATGAGCATTCTTTTGCGCCAAAGCAGAAATGACATCTCCTAGGGCAGATAACGACTTATTTATATGTTGCGCCTCTTTCAGTCTATCTCCTGTCACCTCGGAGCGGTCTACTCTTTCACTTCCAGCGAGATCCACCAAATTAAGACTACTACGCATGGATGAACCACTCTTTATATCCATCCCACGAACATGAATAGTGACAACGCTGAGCACATATTGCAGTTAGTTTATTAGTGTATACTATGGAAAAAGCACCCATCATAAAATGAAAAAAGAGAAGATATGTACTTTAAACTACAAAGTATAGAGATGAACTCTTTAAAGTTGTTATAGGTAACCTGTGTGATCGACTGCTTCTTTCATTCAGGGCAGTGGAACCTTTTGCTCGATTTCTTAATCCAATATCCATCAAATCTAATACATCAGAGGTCCTGTTTACTGGAAGCATGCTTGCTTCTGGAACAGCTAATCCATTAGGTTGTGAGGTGGATAATATCCCAAGTGTGTGCAAATCAAGGAAAACAAAAGGGCAGTCCGGGGGAAAGGCCGGATCATTAGGGTCTATTGTACACAGTCTACCCTGCATTTCTGCAAGAGGCTGTTTCCATGGCTCGAACCCGTGACCTCCTGGTCACATGGCAGCATCGATCTTTTGATGTTTCAAAGTAGCAAGGCAAATAACATGCAAAAAATTAAAGGATATTTCTTTTGTGAACTATCACTTGAGAGTAAGTCACGAACTTGTTCGTTATATATTTCTATCATTTGAACTGTAATTTCATATTTGAAGGTGCTCCCTCTCATTTGAGAAATTTTGAAAAGATCATTTAAAGCTCGATAATTGACACCCAAATTCTCTTCACTCACTTTGTCTGGGCCAGTCTGGACAATTTAATTTGACATCAGGAAGGTGAAACAATTTATAAACATATCTAACAAAATTATATACAGAAGTTCTTACCATGGTGTATGTTTTTCCTGATCCAGTCTGACCATAGGCAAATATACATACATTATATCCATCAAGCACGGACTGTATCAAGGGCTGAATATCTGAATAGACCTCAGCTGTAAAGAGTTGGAACGGTGAATTCATTTTAGAGTTCATTATATATGCAGAACTGAGATAAACCAATTACTAATTAAGATCCGCAATTATATGGAGGAATCTGAAAACCTTGTGTTGCAGCTGGACTGTAGACCTTATTAAACTTGAAAGACCTACGGCCTTCCTTTACTTGTTTGGAAGGATTTACAACAATAAGCTCCCCATTTTCTCCAATGTATTCAACAACTGATTGTTTTTCCTTTTGTCCACGAAGGAACGGCCTAATCCGACAATATACTCTGATATTTCCTAATTGAAAAATAACCGTAAGTAAATGAAAAAGAAAGGTAATAAATTTCAGTTCTCAAAATTATTAGAACTTCATTATATTATCGCACCTTTTAGCTCCTGCACCTCATTGTGCAGTTTGCGATTCTCAGCAAGGACTACAGAGTAGTTAGCAGCTGCATGTCCTAGTGCTCTAACTTTTTCACCTGCAGTAGAAATTTTATTCCATATGGGAAATCCATTTAAGTCAATATTAAAACTTGTGCTGATATCTTATACTTGTACTGCAATCAATAAACGACGTTATTATAATACTTCAAGCAGCTGAACTGACCTATTTGATTGAATTCCTCTCCATAGCTCTTTTGCGTTTTTACAATTTCTTGCCTTATTGACTGAGAAGAAAACCTTAGTTCCTGAACATTCATCGAGGTTCAATTCACACGTGCTACAACACTGACATTTCAGAAAAAAATTAGAAAGAAAAAAGTAAGAAAAGAGATCAAACATACACGAAGTGCGCCTAGCTGGAATTCTGTAAATATTTGGTAAATATGCTCCTTCTTAGTCCAATTCTGAGATTTTGATTGAGAAAGTTCCTCAAGTTCCTTTATCCTATTTCTTGATTCTGTCAAAAGGCACATGGCCTCCTTCAACTTCTCCTCAAGCTCTTGTTGAGCTTCTGTAGCCTTTTTTTCCATTTCTAAGGTGTGTTGTTCGTACAATTTCTTAGCTATTTCCATTTCTTGCTTCAAAGTTGCGATTTCTTGCTTATGATCTTCCTTCTCTTTCATTTCATGCGATTTCTTAGCTATTTCCATTTCTTGCTTCAAAGCTGTGATTTCTTGCTTATGATCTTCCTTCTCTTTCAATTCATATGATTTCTTAGCTATTTCCATTTCTTGCTTCAAAGCTTCGATTTCTTGTTTATGATTTTCCTTCTCTTTCAATTCATATGATTTCTTTACTATCTCTAGTTCTTGCTTCAAAGCTGCGATTTCTTTTCTATGATCTTCCTTCTCTTTCAATTCATACGATTTCTTAACTATTTCCAGCTCTTGCTTCAAAGCTGCGATTTTATGACCGTGATCATCCTTCTCTTTCAATTCATAGGATTTCTTAGCTATTTCCAGCTCTTGCTTCAATGCTGCAATTTGATCATCCTTCTCATTCAATTTAGGCACATCCTGCTCCTCGTTTTTCTTTTTCTCCTCCATTTTGTTTTTCTCATTCTGCATGTGATTTCAAAAAACAAGGAATAGTAAAATTAAAGATTGTTGAAAAGAATGATGACAGCTGAAATTTTTTAGGAGTACCTAGTCTTTGACATCATATTCTTTGCAAACAATAACAAATTTTACTTGACACCATTAACGAACAAATTCTAGGAGAAACTTGTAATCATAAGCAAAGAGATTGTTAATCTAAGCAAATAATGATAATGTCCGCAACCTCTGCACCATCCGACAAGCAAAAGCCAACAAATGGGAGAAAGCATAGGTGGTTTAATGCCCCAGGATATCAGATTTGTATGATTTATAGAGTTAAAGCACACAAAAGAGGAGAAAATGAAAGGCAGAGAATGCAAATATATAGCCCAACATACTGAATTTTGAGCTAGCAATGCAGCACAGGAAGCCAAGGAAGGGGAGCCTTGGCGTCAGAGGCGGACCCAGGAATTTAATGCGATGGGAGCACAATATTATGTTTAATCAGTGCTCCCTAAAGGCTTTTAGCGTTAAGGGTGCCAATTGATTTAAATTAATCATTTTCAAGGTATATACATATACATATACTAGATTTCTGCCGAAACTTTTGGGGTCCAGTGACCCCTCAACCTAAGCCATAGGTCCGTCTCTCCTTGGCGTAACAGGTAAAGTTCCGCTTGCAGAAATGCAGGGTAAGGCTGCATACAATAGAACCTTGTGGTCTGGCCCTTCCCCGGATCCCGCACATAGTGGGAGCTTAGTGCACCGGGCTGCCCTTTTATGCGGCAAGCCAAAGTGGGATTTACCTTAATCTGCTGAAGCTGGTTCATGACAATCTGAAATGCAGAAGAATAGAACGTGTAAAGTTAGAAACAAGGGAATAAGATAAAAGTCACAGACTTTGGAACTTTTCCTAGATGGGAAGTCCATAACTACCTGTGTCTCTTCACTAGTCCCAGTTGCAAGGGCTTCTAGGACTCTGATCCTCGACTGGTATTTCTCTTCACGAGTCTTATATAGATTGTTTTGCTGCAGACATTGAAAGAAAAATTATATGAACCATATTTGCTGAAAAGAGAAATTGAGAAGGCAGTAGCTATATATTATACCGTTCTAAGATGTTCCGCTTGAGTGGATATCCGACGCTCAATTTCTTGCACCACTTTTCTCAATAGGCATGCTACGCGCTGACAGATTAGATAACCAACTGATGTTAGAGCATGTAAAACAGAAATTCTGTGAATCGACATGTGTATTTCAAGTGCGCACTTGAGGTATCTCGCCATTCTTCCGCTCAATGCTTTCATCAAGAATCCCATTGACAACACTTAGAAGTGACTGTGTTGGGGCAATCTGAAAGCAATAAAAAACGAAATAAGGGAAAATAAGTATAAATTCAAATCCCAAGTATAGAATTTATCCAACTAACAAGATAGCTTCATTGACAAAGGGGACTTGTTACTAACATCCAAACTGTTAGATTTCATCATTTCTGAAATCCTTGAAGCAGGAATTTCAGTGTGGCTCCCTTGTTTAAGCTGAAATACTTCGTGGAACTTATGTCCGACGTGATCTAATAATGCAGCTGATGGCTCTACAAAGTTCAGAAAGGAAAATTTAACAGCATGAGAAAGGGAACATGGCTTGTGGAGTAGCGAGAGCAAACAGTAAGATCACTACTTTAACAATGGATTAACTTTTTAGTACAAAGAAGCGAGAGCAAGCAGTATGATTGACGGTTGCAAAGCAAATATCAAACAATTGTGCCCTGTTTTAACATACCATTATGTCGCATAGTACATGGTCTGTAATCTACACAGCAATTCAACTGAAGCGGTTCAATATAGTTATGGCCCTTTTTCTCCTTAAGGGGGAGATTTTGGTTTTGGTTATTGTATTTGGGAGGAGAATGAAACAACAATACCTGCCATTACAGGACTTCTCAATGCACGCTGGAATTTTGAATCTGATCCGTTCTTCTGTCGTTCTCCTGGGGATGGAGAAGATTGAGTTCTTGAAAATTCTTCTCTGTATGAGACATCGCCACATCCAAAATTTTCTCCCAACAATTTCCATCTTTTATTTGCATGAGCTCCAGATTTACCAGATAATACTGTGCTAGAATTGCGTCCTCCATTATTCGGCATAAATTCTGCCTGAAGTGTTAAAAGGCACTCCACCACTATTTTCATAGAACCCTGGACAATATATCAGTGTCAAAATATCGAAAACAGAAAATAGATGGCACTTAGATTGCATAAAGGTAAAGACGGATAACACTTTTAATTTGTGCATATGGAAAAAGTTATACAACAAATAAAATTAAGACATACAAGCACTTTTGATAATCATAAGTAAACATGAAGTGATCAATATATGTTAGTTAGGACACGACCACGAGTTTATAGTCATGAAATTAACCTGTTCCAAGTCTGATGCCTGAAACCTGGGCAAGCCCATTTCATCCATAGCTGACAAAAACCTTTTAATGTTTTCTGAGCCTATCTCCGGAGAGTGTTCTGAACCACCACACTAGAACAAACAATACAGTTAAATCAACAAAACAAAACCATCCTTACTCCTTCATACTGTAAAATCAAAAACGTTATAAACTACCTCTGGTACAGAACCTGGTCTCAGCTTATTCAATAATTGGCATAAGACGGTACCATCAACTAAGAAAGCTCGCAAATCCTCATCAGAAGCATTTATTGGGAAACGCAAGTGAGGAAGAACACTGTTTAACCATTCTACCAATTTTGCTCGTTGCTTAGCTGTAGAAACAACAAATTAGAAGAATTAGCCAGAACAAGAGTTTGATCAGAATTACATGGATTGAATGTTTTGCCCATTCAGCCTCACCGTTATTACTTGACAAAGGCTCAAAGACGTCCCCACTACTGTACACACTTGAGCTGCTCCGTCTACCATAATCTTTGGCAACGCGATCCAGAATGGAGTTCATGATAGTGCAACATCCGATTCAGAAGATATCTGCATCACGTAGAAGCAGAAATGCTGAATCAATATATCTCTGGACTAATAAAGCAGAAAGAGTTGCATCTTGTTCTAAACTTTTAAGACTAAGTCGTGCATTCCTAAAATTACTACCTATAGTCTCCAAGTGAATAAATGGATCAAGACATATAATGTGTTAATGTAGTAGGGAGGAGGTCATTTGCCCAATTGGACGCAATCAGAGAGGTCATTTGCCCAAAATTCAGGACAAAAAAAGATTAACTCAACTCACTAAAATCTTTCAACGCTATTTCTTTTCCGAGATTCGACTGCATGGAGGTTTACATACAAACGTGGAATCGAGAACACAAAAGTTCCAGAATATAAAAACAAGCATTATCAAGCACAACACATAAAACATATCCACGAATGAAATTAAATGGCTAAAAATCAGCGTAAGAATTAGAATTTCAAACAGAAAAGAAGAACCTGTGAAAGTGCGGAAAGGCATAACCTATGCACGTTCTTATTTAGAGAATATCAATGAGAGTAAGCGTCATTTTGCTATTATCAATAGTGTTTAATTTTTTCGTAGTAAGATGTTAGTATTGGAGCTTTCAGTTAGTATTGAATTCCGTGTACCGTTGGATTTCTATGGAAGGTTGAAAACCTGACCGCTTTCCTTTTATGTAGGAGATCTCAGGTCCATCTTTTTCCTATTTTTATCTGTTTGATTCAGTGCTGATAGGGGTTCGTTATATGATCTTAAAAATAATTAATGACCTTATTGAGATGTTACTTTTCTGTTTTCACAAATTAAGATTAATTTTCTTTAAGTGACAGACATACGAAAAATTCCATTCTTTTATTACGAGCTAGAGATGCTACTACAAAAGTTATACATAAATCACTTCAGCTTTTGACATCTCGATAGTGGCCCATCTATCTATCTATCTATACACGAGAATTTGCCAAGTGTTATGTGAAGAAAATGCCATGTGGCAATTTTAGTTAAAATTAGGTAAAATTAGTTTATATTTTGAATTTGAATTTCAAAATGCTGAAATATCTACCCTTTTACATTTTTTAAAAATTAATTTACCAAAAACGATTAATCATGGGAAGTTACAAGAAGTAATAAAATTTGGGAAGGATTGTGCAAATTCTAATGATGATAATTAGTTTATTTTTTAAATTTGAATTTAAAAATAATAAAATATCAAAAAAATTACATTCTTTAAAAGTTAACTTACCAACAAAATCCAATAAAATATCTTTGCAACCTCTTTGTTGGTTTTACCATCGCGCGCCTAATCCCCAAATTCATCTTAAACGGATTTTCAGTAACATGATTTTTCATATCAGTTTCATATTTTTACAGTACATACCTCTAATTCTTTCTCCTTTCTTCGCATATCACTCAATAATTCTGGATTACAAGTGGTAAGTTCTATGATTTGTAATTCTAGAATACTTATTAAATTTCTATAACAAATAAATCCTCAAAAATAATTTGACGCTTCTCTGGATTATGAATAGATATTTAACTAGAATATAGAAAAGCAATTAATTTTTCAGCTCTTTCTTTCTTTCACTCCTTGCCTCTCTACATTATGAACATATATCTAACTAGAATAGAGAAAAGCAATAAAAATTTCAGTTCTTTCTTCCTTTCACTCCTTGCTTTTCTTTTCTTTCGTTGTTATATAATTTGTTCAATAGAAATACTAACAGGCAACTAAGAATTTCATTACAAAATCAAAGGTTTGATTTTGTAATGCAATTCTTAGTGATTTGCGCATACCACAGGATATTATATTCTACGTTAATTCATTGATTACACTATGTACTTGTATATTTATTTTGACTTATACTTTTTTTCAATTAACAGGGGACATAATGGCGGACGAAAGTAATTTTATTAGCGAAATTAATAATGAGCCAATGAACTGAAAATGAAAGGTTCGTATTGCCAGACGTTAGGAAAATACAGACCTGATATTCCTTATTCAATTGAGCTTATTCTGATGGATGAAAAGGTAATATTTATAAACTTAGTTTATATATGCTTCAATATGCTATCGCCATATAGGGAATAACTTAAATTTTTTGAACTAATTGAATGGTTTTGTAGAGCAACCTGATAGTAGCCTATATTATGCGATGTAGATACTATTTATGCTCTAAATTAACCACACCTAATTGATGATTTAAGTGCTAAATAATAACAAAATACTCTAATTGATGTTTTTATGCTTTGCAGGAGCTACTCCGAGTTAGGAGGAGGATATAGAGTGTTTTGGGGACAAAAATGAAGATACAAGGCCAATTGAGAAGAGCCCGGATGAAAATGAGCAACAAAAGGCGAAGAAAAGCTGGGCAACAGTCCACCGCGATCGCGGTCGGGCCGCGGCTAGAACGCGGTGGAAGAAAAGCGGAAGACAGAATGTTTGTAAATCACCGCGGTCGCGCCGCGGTTGTCCCACGACCGCGGTCGATCTGGAGACAGCCAACAAGTTTAAGGGCTTAAGTGCAAAATGTGGGAAACTTATCCTAACCCTATATAAACTCAACAAACTCGCCCAAGTCAAGGTCAAGCTTGTTTTTAAGACTGAATTGGAGGCAAGAACAAGTGTGAGAAGATCAAGACACCATTAGAGTTTTTCATTCTTCTTCTTGTTATTATTATTTTGTGAACTATGAATTATTTTATGTTTTTATCTTCTTCTCCCATGAGTAGCTAAATATTTAATCTAGGGTTGATGGAACCAATTGTTAGATGAAGTTTTGACTCAATTTTATTATAATCGAGCCGGGTTTATTATATGATTGTTCAACTATATTTTGTATGGTGATTAATTGAATGGGCCCTCGATTAATCGTGTCTAATTGCCTTGTGTTGCTTGAGAAAGAATACTAGATTAGATTGTTGTAAAAAATACCACTTTTGGGTAATTGAAGAGATTCATTACTTTAATTTAAAAGTGGGGTTAGAGATAATGAAACTTTGGTGGGATAATTCAGAGCTGCATAAATTATCAGCTAGAGTAGTTCGAGAGAATGTTCTAGTAAATTATCGTAGTTTATCGAGAGATAATTGCGGTAACCCATAGCTCATAATCCTCATAGAGTATCACGGCGAGATTATAGCAAAAGAGTTAAGAATTAAGCTAGCAATTGGGGAAATCAATACCCTAGATCTTTTTACCATCGAATTATCTTTAATTTAGGATATTGTTAGTTTTAATATCCTTTTGCATTAGTTAAACAAATCTCCCTGTTTATTGATAAAAATCTTGCACCTGGAAATTGGTTAAACTTGTACTAGCATCACTAATAGTTGTAATAGATAGGTTAGTTCCCTGAGGATTCGAACCCGGACTTGAAAAACCGGATTGTATTTGCAACGACCGCTTTGTATTTTATAAGGCATAGTTGGGCGTGATCAAATTTTGGTGTTGTTTCCAGGGAACTAATGGTGTTATTTATTGCAACTTAGAAGTAGTGCTAGAATTATTAGTCTAGTTCAATTTTCTACGGTGTTAAATAACTTTTTATTGAAATTCTCACGTTAGAACTTTTGTGTGATTCTGGTGTATGCCTAGAAATTCTTCGAGGACTGGTGAAGTGCTTGAAGGACTCTCAAACCCCGAGAAAACATTCAGGGCATTAAACCGTGCCAACAAGAAGAACAAACAACCACAACAAACACACCAACTCATAACTGAAATGGACAACAACAGGGAAAACATCAATGTGCCAAACGACGCAGTGGTGGCACCTCTTGTGCCAGAAGCTGCACTTTATGATTGGGCACAGCCAACAGCTGACAACCTGGCCACCGCCATTGCTGTGCCCCAAATACAAGCGGAGACATTCTAGATCACCAACAACATGCTGCATCTTTTGCAGAATAAGGGATTGTTCTCCGAGTCACACATTGAAGATCCTCAACAACACCTAAAAAATTTTCTGTCAATTTGTGTGACCCAAAGGCAGCCAAATGTGACCCCAGAAGCTATCAAGTTGTTACTGTTCCCGTTCTCTGTGACTGGGGAAGCTCAGACTTGGCTAAATTCGCTCCCAATAAACTCCATTGCCACTTGGGAGGAATTAGTCAAGCAGTTCCTGAACAAGTTTTACCCGCCCAACAAGACTGCAAGACAGATTGATGAGATATTGCAGTTCAAGCAGCAGTCCACTGAGACCTTGTAGGAAACTTGGGAAAGATTCAAAGGGATGCTAGTGAAGTGTCCCCACCATGGTATTCCAGACCAAATGCTCGGCCAGAGATTCTACATGGGATTAGCAGACAATTTAAAGGCCAATGTAGATGCTTCAGCTGGGGGTGCATTCCTGAGCAAGACATTCACTGAGTGTAAAATCCTTCTTGACAAGATAGCTCAGAATTCAGGGTGGATGACGAGAGGTACGACCCTGTCACCAATAGTGCATTCAGTTCCTTTTGACCCAAATAATTCACATGCAGAGAACATAGCCACACTCATGACTCAGATGAGTATACTTACAAAGAAGATTGATGAGATGGGTACAAAGCAAGTGCACATAGTTGACACAACAAATGGAGGACTATGTACACCTTGCATTAATCAGTCTTATGTGTGTTCATGGAGTGGAGAAGGTGACAACCAAGGGTTAAGAGAGGATATGAATTATGTCAACAACTTTGGGGGTCAGAGGCAAGGAGGACAACAATGGGCACCAACACCCAACCAGCAGTACAAACTGAACATACCACAACCGGGAGGTATGCGGCCCCAAGGCCAAATAGTGCCATATCAGAGACAACAGGGCTATCAACAGCAGCCTCAGCAACAGTTGACATATCTGCCACCTCATCAGCAACAGGACAGCAACATGGTAGAAATCAGGGGTATGCTGCAACAGCTCATTGGAATAAATGGTAAGATGCAGGAAAAGTTGGCAACGCATGACTCAGCCATTAAGGGTATTGAAACTCAACTGGGGCAGCTGTCCATGGCCTTGAACAACCGCCCCCAG